GTAATAGCTCAAATCTCTGAAATACATTGGTCCACAATGGGTTCTAAACGGGAAAACAAAAAGGAATGGCAGGCCATGAAACTGTTTCAAAAAATGTTTAAGCTAGAACATGTATAAATGACTTTTATTCCTTATTTAGACTTACTAAGTGTCTGACAGTAACAATTAAATTTCTCACATCACTGCATTTGCCAAAGGGAAATTAAAACGGAGTTCTATATTCCAATAAGCTAGAAAAACACTAAGTTAAACAAGTTTAAATAGGTTTCTTTCTGAGGATTTTGCAGCCTTTAGGATGCAAGTATGTAGCAATTAGAATTTTAAGAAGGGGGAGATCATACTGTTTCTTAACTATTTGACCATATAAGCTTTTCCCCCATAGTATCCAGCAGAATTAGTACTGTATGAAATGCACTTTGAATAATATCACAGTATATGCCATATTTAAAAAATCATATTCATATTTCATGATATTCACATATTATATTCAAGAAATAGGGGATAAATTAAAAATCATATTCATATTTCACGATATTCACATATTATATTCAAGAAATAGGGGATAAATTAAAGTCTTGAGAAGCATCATTCCCTACTGAAAAAATCCAAAACACCTCTCATACCCAATTTTTTCCTTTGCAGATCCTCCTGAAACCCTCAAGTTGGAAACCACTAGAGACATAAGAACAATTTAACCAAGAAAGCACTTACTTCTCCACAAAGCTCTCATATCTTGTTCAGCCTTTCAAAAAAATAAAAACAAAAAACTACTGAGCATCTACTATTTGCCAACAATTAAAAAGGTATAGCTCCTGACCTCAAGAAGGTAAAAAAGACAAGTAAATAGGTAAGAACAATGTAGTGTGATTAGGTGTCACAGAATGCTATAAGAGGGAGGAAAAAAGACTATCCAGTTTTGAGGAGTCAGGGAAAGCGTCTCTGGGGAAGTGAAATTTAAGTCAAGACCTAAGGAAGGATTACCAGAGCAAAGGGAATGAAAGAACAACATACTAAGCAGAGCAGAAAAACATATACAAAGGCCCTTTTAGCTATACACTCATGGTGGAACACGCACTAGTTAAAGGTGGTGAGGTGGGGGGTGGGGGGAAATTAGTATTAAGAGATAAAGCTGAAGAGGTATGGAGGATCTCTGTAATAATTCCATACTTCATTCTGAAATCAATGAAAAAATTACTGAAGGATTTGAAGCTAGGGATTGAGATTATCAGATTTACACATTATAAAGAACACTCTGGCAGCCGTGTAGCAAATATTAAAGTTCCTAATAATCTCAGTCACATATTCTTTCATCTTTTATGCTTGCGAACCCAAATTAACAAAAGTAGACAATGTTTCAACAAATGGTGTTGGGATAACTGGATATCCACATGCCAAAGAATGAAATTGCAGCCCTACCTCACACCATTCATAAAAATTAACTCAAAATCAGTCAAAGACCTAAATATAAGAGCTAAAATTATGCAACTCTTAAAACAGGAATAAATCTTAGATTTATAGAATAAATAAATCTTTTCTTAGATATGATACGAAAAGCATTAGTGACAAAAGAAAAAAGATAAATTAGATTTCACAAAAATTAAAAACTTTTGCATTGCAACTATTCCTCTCATCAAGAAAATGAAGACAATGGGAGAAATATTTGCGAAGTATATATCTGTTAAGGGCCTTGTACCCAGAATATATAATGAATGAACTATTATAACTCAACAATAAAATGACAAATAACCAAACTAAATGGGCAAAGGATTTGAATAGACATTTTCCCAAAGAACATAAACAAATGGCCAAAAAATACATGGAAAAATACTCAATATCATTAGTCATTAGAAAGTTGCAAATCAAAACCAGAGTGAGAACCACTTCATAATCACTAGAATGTTTACAATTAAAAGAAACAATAACTAGTGTTGGCAAGGATGTTGAGATACTGAAACCTTCATACATTACTCACGAGAAAGTAAAAGCTCTGGAAAACAGTTTACCAATTCTTCAAAAAGTTAAACATAGTTACCATATAAACCAGTAATTCCACCCTTAGGTATATATACCCAAGAGAAATGAAAACTTACACCCACATAAAAACTTATACATGAATGTTCATAGCAACATTATTCATAAAAGCCAAAAAACAGAAGTAACCAAAATGTCTATCAGTTAAAATAAGGATAAAATGTGGCATAACCATGTAAACATTATCAACAATAAAAAGGAATAAAGCTCTGATACATGCTATATAACATGAATGAATCTTGTAAAATTATGCTAAGTAAAGGAAGTCAGTTACTGAAGACCACATACTATTTGATTCCATGTATATAAAATACTCAGAAAAGGCAAATCCAAAGAGACAGAAAGTAGATTTGTAGCTGCTTAGAGCTGGCGGGGATGCTGGGGGCTGGGGATCAACGCTAATGGTTATGGAGCTTCTTTTAGGGGATGAAAATGTTCTATAATTAGATCATGATAGTTGCACAATCCTGTGAATTTACTAAAAAACATTGTATGCTTTGAGAATTATACCTTAGTAAGTTTTTTAAGCAGGCAAATGCTGAAAGCAGGTGTGTATACAAAAATTATGGTAATAAACAGAAGATGCAGAAATGAAAAATTACTTGATCATTCTAATAAATCCATAAATCTAAAATCTAAAAATGAAAATATCTTACAACTATGAAGCTAAGAAGCCAGCCATCCTCTTGTCAACAAAATTATTGGCTGTCAGTTTTCAATTAATTCTTCACGTACTGCATTTTGATGATGTGAGTACAACAATCAGAAAGTAGTAAGGTAGAACCTACTAGATAGGTATCTGAAATCTAGAATCAGCATTTACAAGATGGATTTACGTTCTAGATTCATATATGACAACTCATGCACAGTTAGTTAAATTCATAAAACAACTTTCTTATCAGGTACTATCACCATCAAAACTAGGAAAATATGAAACACATATTTGGGTTTGCTACTTTCTCATTATTGAAAATTCTAAAAAGTCCCTTTCTAGCCTTTTATTTTTTTATTCAGTAAATTATTCAAGAGGTGACTTAGAAGCATTTTTAAAAGTGGACTCATTGGGCACAGATGATAAATGGTGTTACTATTTTTCCTAGTATACCGAATAAAGATTTTGATGGAGACTATTTCTTGCCTCTGGATATTTTTGACTCATGTTTGTATCTTGTCTCCTCTGACAACTCTGTGATTTTTGCCTTTCCCAAATCGAGGCATAAAAAAACTAAGATGTCTTTTTTGCCTCAAGTCTCTGGGTATCCTTGGCTTCATGAAAAAAATAATAGAAAAAATTAATTTGTTTGGCATTCTCCAAATTTTAATTAATTCTAAATTATTCTAAAAACGATTCTTAAAAATCAAACTTCAAGAAAAAAAAAACTTGACAAATGAAGAGCTTATTCTTCCTGGGTTAAAATTTGTTAATAAAAATGTTTCAACGTCTTTGTCCCTTTAAGCTGCTATAAGAAAACACCACAGGCTGAGTAGCTTATAATTAACAGAACTTTGTTTCTTACAGTTGTGGAGGCTGAAAGTCCAAGATCAAGGTGCCAATGTGGTTAGCTGAGGGCCCCTTCCAGGTCAGAGGTCTCCACGTATCCTCACATGGTGGAAAGGACCTTTGGGAGGAAACTGGTCTCCTCAGGAGTTTAAAGGAATAGCTATTAAATCTTTCACAGTGGAATTTGACTCTGAATCTGTCAGATTCTAATGAAAAAGATTTAGTAGCTATTCCTTTAAACTCCTGAGACCAATTTCCTCCCAAAGTTCCCTTCTAAAATTTGAATTTTCCTCATACCATTAGAACTGATCTCCATTCTTACAAAAATTGGAACTTTAAGTCAACAAAATACTTCTGCTATAATCATTACAACACTGTCAGGAGAACCAAGCTCACCAGGGGAGAGAACAGATGCTGGAGCTATTCTCACTGCACTGGTCATTTTCTCCAAGATTTTCCAGACTTCTATGCAGGAATTAAACTCTCCTCAGAATGTGCCCACCTCCGGGCTCACTCCTGTTATGATAAAATATATTCATATTCCTGATATTAATCTGTAATTCATCAGGGATTATTTTATCAACACCAGGCTTTTCCCCACTTCCTAAACCCAAACCTGTCTTGTCTACATGGAATAATTAAGAAGTTTCCAATATTTAAAGCCCTTTTCTCTCTAGTATAGTGTGTTTCCTTGAGAAGTATAACAAGAGACTTCCAAAATGAAGCAGGTGTTGGTTACTCAAGAGAGCACTCAGAAGTGATGACTGACTCTCTTTATGCATACTGTGCAAGACTACTACTCAACCAGCAAGAGTAATACAATTAGAAAAGTGGTCGAAATTTTGCCTCATCCTCCGTTGTGCAAAGTGGTTCAAATTTTGACTCACCTTCTGCTATGGAAGTCCAACAAACAAATTTAATTAAATACACTACCCAGGATAGTCATGGACAATCACAGTCACAGTCTTTCATAGCCTCTTGGCAAGCCAAGCAGCAGTTTGTATTTAGTTAATACTTCCTGTTGTATTTCTATAAAGACCACTGGACAGGTAAGACCCTGTGGTTTTTGGTCAATGGGCACCACCAGTGTAGGTCAAAGGGTTCCCTTTTGAAGGAGATACAAAGGCTTTATCCTCATAGATAAAAGTAATGAATCCTATATTCTATACACAAATATCTAACAACATTACCAATATTAAATAAAACCTTATCAGTATTATGGCAATTTAATTAAACAAATAAAAATGTATGAAATTTGCAGATATAAAGTGACAACCAACCCCTCAACTGAAAAACTTGTAATCTTAAGAAACACTAACTGAAAATAACTTTTCCATATGTAAAAATGTATCTTAGATATGTTTTCTCAAAAGTCCCCCAAATTTTCATATAGGTGATTTTCAAGTTAACTATTCTAGCAAACCACTGTAAATATAAATAAAAGATTATAAATGCAATGCATTTGGAATGCTATTGTGAATATGCTTTATTTTTAAGTAAAAAATGAATCATAGCCAAAACAAAATGTTTTGCCTCTGAATAGTTTAAGCTTAAGAGAAAAAAGTCATTAATGATGAACATACTTCCATTTTTCAATGTTTTTAATTTTTTATAAAGATTTTAATTAAGCTTCATAGTCACTAAGCAGTTTTTAAACCTAGGCTTCATGATCCTTTCAACTTCATGCTTTTAAATGGAGTCATTATCTTCAAAACACAACAAATTTCAGAATCCATTAAAAATTATTTTATTCAAATTATGTTTTCCAAAAAAGAGGGTTCTGTGCTAGCCGTCTTTGAAAGTTTTCATACCTACAAAAGAAAAAACATATTTACAAGAAATTTAATTAGAATCTTTCATAATCTGACAAATGACTCATCAAAAAGTAAACAACTTTACGTGTTATTTCTAAAAAGCTAAGACTAAAAATCTAGAAAGCTAAAAAGTTAATCTGGAAGTTTATTAGTTTATAAAAAGATAGTAAGCACAGTGATTTAACGGGTTGTATATGAAAGCACAAATCATAGTAATTTTTTAAACTGTTTATCGTCTGCAAATCTGAGAGCTAGAAGGGACCTAAGAAAAAAATTCTAACTCCTCCCTCATTTCATAGATGAAAGTAATTTTACTACATTATAACAAAGCTCAAACTTCATATATTCCAGTACCATCCATGCTATACATGCTACCATTTCTCCTTATGCATCCCCCCATCACTGGGATACTATAAGTGAAAAGAAGTATTTGTAAAACAGAAACATAGAAAAGCTGGGAAAATAGACTTATTAACCATTCATGTACACAGTGCAGTATAAACCACTCTGATGTTTTATATATGTTTACTTTAGATCAAGATTTTCTACACTTATGAAAAGAAAAAGGTTTTCATTGCTATTTCAAGCCTCACATATGGTACTTATAATTTGAAACATAAAAATATTTACAGTCCTTAATTGTGGTTCCTGAAATAAAGGCAACTGTATTTTCCTGTCTTTATAAATCCAAAATGGCTACTATAAAACAGAATACTTCTGTTTTCTGGGATAGAAACTATTCCTAACCTGAACTCTAAAGCACATACTTTCTAATGGCATGCAAATGTTAATGTATGATGATGTGCACAGTAAAAGAACATGTTTAAAGGTCAAAGAAGAAATACATTCACAAGCAAAAAAGTGTCATGGTTATTAACAGCCTTAATATGAGAGCTACAAAATGCCCCATACCATTTCAGAACCACATTTGCTGGAATGAACATTTCAGATGGACTTGGTGTCATCTGGGCCTGAGAGACAGCAAATGATGAAGCAAAATTGTAGAAGTTGTCCAACATCTTTTGTGTGAACTAAAAGTTAATAATGAATAGATTAATGGATTATACTAAATACTCCATTTAGACCTTAAATTTTTAATTAAAAATGGTGCCACATTAACCTAGTTGAAGGACGGAGAATTCTAAGACAGTCTAATGCTGAACATTAAGAAAAGTCATAAAATGACATTATGACACAAAGTTGTAACAATCTGCCATTAGTACTTTCTTTATATCTCAAAGAATTTCTACGATTATCAAGTATTTTTAAGTTTTAACATACTTATTTTGGAAAAAAAGGAAAAAAATTTTTTTCCTTTAAAGTACCTTCTTTTATCTCCTACTCTGGAGATGCCCCTCTCCTCAAATACCACCCTCGTCAAATCAACCTGTTTTCTTATATGAAACAGTAACCATCTCTAAGGAGTTTTTTTCTTGCCAGAAAGATAAAAGCTTAAGTCTAATAAAAGAGCAACTGGTAGTTTGCCAACAATTATAAAGAAGAGAAACGTAGCACTAGTCCATTTCTGCTATTTCCTGGCCTGTTTGTTCTCAGTGACCCTTAAATGGGCAAATCTACTAACATCGTCCAAGTCTTCTCGGTAGAAGCTAGAAGTTAACTGATTCATACTTCTTGAGGATCAAATGGCTTTAAGTACCAAACCAAAAAGAAGTGAACTACTAAAGATAATACTATCTTTTATTCACTCAAAAATAATCTTCCCAACATCACTTTTTCAGAAACAGAAAACTAGCCATTAAGGCTCTTGCTGTCTCTCTTCTACATGAGAAGAAATACCTTATCAGGGTTTTTGTTTATTTAATAATATGAAGATAGCTTAATCTAAGAGACTACTGTTAAGGTACTTGAACCAACATCACAGTTCAGTAAGATCACCAACTAGAAGATCAGTGTCAGGAGAAAAAAACAGCAACCCTCTACATAAGCAACAAAAAATTTTAAATGTTACTTAAGAAGATCTAATTCATGATAGAAACAACATCTACAAGATACCTAGGGAAAATGCTAACACAAGCTGATGATAATACTTCTGTGGAAAATATTTAAGACAGTCTTGAGAGACAGGAAAGAAAACAAATGAAAGGACCTATATACCATGCTGAGTGGAAAGATACATGTTTACAGACAGAAGGACTTAATGTGGTAACAGCACATTAAACCTATAAATTCAATGTTATTTTCAACTAAATTCCAACAAGATTTTTCATGGCACTTGACAAGCTGATACTAAAATTATTATGAAAAAATACCTAAGCCTATCTTGATGACTAGGAGGGGAGACTTGGCTTACCAGATATGAAGACTTTTACTGGCAAAGGAACAGGTAAACAAACTAATTGGAATAAAAGAGAAAGCCCAGAAACAAACCTAAGCATATGTGACACATGATATATAAAGATGTTAATACTCAAAAAAAAAAAAAACCAGACTAACTATTTAATTAATGGGGCTAGAACGAGTTTTGATAGGGGGAAAAATGAATTTAGATCCCTTCCCATCCCACACACAAACACAATTCAAAAAGTAAAATGTTAAATCCTTAAGAACTATGAGAGAACATAACATCTTCACATATCAGGGTAAGAAAGAACTTCTCAAATACAAAACCCCTACAAATCATAAAGGGAAAAGCTGATAAAACTTGTCTACATAAAAATATGTGTGTATGCAAAAGACATCATAAACAATATTAAAAGATAAGCAATATGCTAGAAGAAATTTACAACATATGTAACAAAGGATTATTATCCAGAACATATAAAGGCCTTTTCCCAAAAAGCTAAAATTAAGAAATGCCAAAAATCACACAATAGAAAATTGGGCAAAATATATATAAATAGTCCTATACCTAATTACCTTCCCCCCAAATTAATTAATTGATTAATTAATTAATTATTTTAAAAGTCCTATAAAAGAAAATACAAATGCAAGCCAAAAATGAGAAAAGATGCTCAACTTCACCAGCAGTCAAAAACAAACAAACAAACAAACAAACAAACCCCGAAAAAATAGCAATAGTCTACTTTCACCTATCAAGTCTGGCAAAAATTTAAGATCTGATAAATTAGTGAGAATGTATAAACATCTACCAATATGGATATGAAAAAACAAACTGTAGCTCATTCATACAATGACATAGTATAAGGCAGGTAAAACAAACGATCTATTCCATGTATCATATCAACACAGATAAATCTTTAATATTGAGTGAACAATAGGAAGTTATCAAAGTCTGTGCAATATATTACCATTTATATCCATTTTAAGACATATGAAAGAGTAAATCAACAAGAAGGAAAAATAAAGGAACCAGAAAAAAAGGAATTTAACACAGAAGAAAAGTAAAAGAAATTTCTGGAGTTATGGTAAAAGAGGACAATACTCTGACAACAGCTATGCAACAGACTCAGAGAATAATCAGTCCATAGTACAAAAGAGAAAGTTCCAAAGCGGAATGTTTCCAAATTTTAAATTGCTATATTTAAATATATTGAACAGGAATTTACACTTGGCAGAGTTTGGGCCTAAGTTATTAGAAATGAAAACACAGAAATCCATGCAAAGAAAAAAATGAGGAACTTTTTAACCAGGAAAAATGAAGTTATACAGGACAAGAAATTTAATGGTAGCACTACACATGGCTCAGTTTTGAAAAATATTTACCACATTATAATGTTGAAAACTCTGAACATTAATTTTATGAAAATCTATATTGGAAAGGTGGGGAGAAAAGATATCTGTGTATTTTGGTGAGCAGAAGATTAAGAGAGCTGTTAAGAGAGCTGTCATGGTACATATCAGTAAGTCAATGGAAAATACCTGTAACAGATAATAAACAAAGTTTAAGCAAGCTTCTTCTGACACATGGAAGTAAATACAAGAAGAAATTGTTAAAAAAGGCGGGGGGGGGGAGTTGAAAGTGACTGCTGCTGAGGAGCAGAACAAGAGCAGAATATAAGCTCAGCATACTAATTGGGGAGGGAAAGGGGAAATTTTAATATTTAAACTCATTTAAAAAATCACTTTGAGTATTTTATCACTATGAGAACAAACCTCTCATCAAAGCATTTATAAACTTTAAAATAGTGATAGAGAAGGGAGACAAAATGAAAATATTCATGGAAGCCAATAATTTATGTCATATATGTTGACCTTCATTTTTACATGAATTCTACCACCAGGCTAATTTCTGAAGTAAAGAATGTGATTTTTTAATTATTTTAGAAAATAATGAAATGTGAATTGCATTACCTGAGTGAATGAGTCAACTGAGGATACAGCAGCATTACCTACAGGAGTCTGCTGAGCCAGACTGTCCAATAATTCCACTGAAATTCCAATCTGAGCAACAGATGGGGTTCGGACAATATTCATGGCTCCAAAAGGGTGTTGGCTTCCTTCTCCTGAAAGAAATTAACATGCACCACATATTTCAATTTTAACTTGTATCCATACAAATTCCTTTGTATAGATGTAAAGAACCTCTGATCTATTTGCACTAAAATGTTCCATTACATGAAAGTTTGTCTCTTCTCAGATAAATGTAAAAGGATACCAAGTTTGTATCATATTAACAAAGAATTAGGAAAACTAAAATTTTCCCCACCAGAAAAATAGCTGTTACTTTTCTAAAACTTCTTAAAATTACTGCAGCTAGAAATGGAAATTAAGAGAATAAGAGAAAAATAAGTAAATGAGCATGAATTACATAAGAGATTCTCAATGCTAAGTTTGAGGGAAGGATATTTTAAAAGACTTTTAGAATTAGTTTTAATATTTTCTGATTATTTCACTAAAGTGGATCTGTCAATCGCCTTATTACTGATGACTACACAGTGTATTTTACTAAATCTTATGGACCACCCCACTCAACACTCAATGATCTGTTATCAAACAGGCAGTAAAGAAATTTCCAGCTTATTCATGAAAAATATATAATAATTTTCCCCTTTGTATCATTTATAAGTAAAATATATAATACATCATAAATATATCAAATATACATCTGAGCCTCTAAGCACCAATTTAACATGGAAAATATAGGCCAATTTTATTAATCCACATTAGACATAATCAATAAAGTTAGTCTGATGAAGGAGAAAAATCATACAATGAACAGATCACTAGTTTATCTGCTGTTTTTATATGACTATAATATGTCTAAAGAAATATTGAAGAACAAAAATCTGGGACAACACACATTCCTAATAACTAGAACATTCATTGCAAGTATCAAAACTCTTCCTAAATTTTCAAGCATACGAATACAAACTTATAATTACATTTTTCTGTACTTTAAAAATACATACACATTTCAGTATTTTTAAAGTATTTGGTTTTTATTTCTACATATTTGTGAATTTTCCAGATTTACTTGTTATTTCTAGTTTCTATCAATGTAGTCAGAGAACAGCATGATTTCAGTCTTCTAAAAATACTAAGCATTTCTGTGGAGAAAGGGGAACCCTCCTACACTGCTGGTGGGAATGCAGTTTGGTGCAGCCACTGTGGAAAACCGTATGGAGATTCCTCAAAAGACTAGGAATAGACTTACCATATGACCAAATAATCCTGCTCCTGGGCATATATCCAGAAGGAACCCTACTTCAAAAAGACACCTGCACCCCAATGTTCATAGCAGCACTATTTACAATAGCCAAGATATGGAAACAGCTTAAATGTCCATTGACAAGATGACTGGATAAAGAAGATGTGGTATATTTATACAATGGAATACTATACAGCCATAAAAATGACAACATAATGCCATTTGCAGCAACATGGATGTCCCTGGAGAATGTCACTCTAAGTGAAGCAAGCCAGAAAGAGAAAGAAAAACACCATATGAGATCGCTCATTTGTGGAATCTAAAAAAAAAAAAAAGAAAAAAAAAAGAAAGAAAAGAAAAAGACAAAGGAACATAAATACAAAACAGAAACAGACTCATAGACACAGAATACAAACTTGTGGTTGCCAGGAGGGAGGGGGATGGGAAGGAACAGACTGGGAGTTCAAAATTTGTAGATACTGACAGGTATATATAGAATAGATAAACAAGATTATACTGTATAGCACAGGGAAATATATACAAGATCTTGTGGTAGCTCATGGTGAAAAAGAATGTGGCAATGAATATATGTATGTTCATGTATAACTGAAAAATTGTGCTCTACACTGGAAATTGAGACAACATTGTAAACTGACTATAACTCAATAAAGTAAAATTTAAAAAAATACTAAGCCTTTTATTCCTTTGATAACTATATAAGTTTAAAAAGCTAAGAATCAATCTGTTCTTAGAAACAATAATTATTAAATATATGTAAACTAAAAAAATGTGTAGTATACTGTATATATGTATTTACATGCAATATAATGTGTATGTGCAGTCAAACTGTAATAAAAATATATGGAAAAAAATACTAAGCCTTGTTTTGTGGTCTAATATATGGCTATTCAAGAAAATGTTCCATCGGCACTTGAGAAGAACATACATGCTGTAGTTGAGTAGAATGCTCTATATGTTAGGTCTAGTTCATTTACAGTGTTGTTCAAATCTTCTATAACCTTGATAATAATCTGTCTAGCGTTCTATCCATACCGAGTAGGGTATTGAAGTTTCCAACTATTACTGCTGAATTATTTCTCCTTTCAATTCTGTCAATTTCTGCCTCATGTTCTTAGGCTCTGTTAGGTGCACACAAGTTTGGAATTGTTCCATCTTTTTGACAAATTGACCCTTTTTATTATACAATGTCCTTATATACCTCTCATAATAATTTTTGTTTTAAGACTATTTACTCTTACAGTCCCTCCAAGCTCTCTTTTGGTTTCTGTTTGCATATTTATTTTTCTTCCTTTACTTTCAACCAATTTATAAATCTTTGACTCAATAGCTGAATCATATTTTTTATCCATTCTGCAAATCTCTGCCTTTTAGTTGAAGATCTCAATTTTGTGTTAAATAGACACTTGTCAGTGTACTAATTCCCTCCCCCCTTTTTTTTTCACTATATATATAATTTTTGCTATATTCTTTAAATGGTTGCACTGGGGATTACAATTAACATCTTAATTTATAACTACCTAGTCTGGATTAATACATATTTAATTTCAACAATATATAAAATCTTCGCTCCTATAAAACTGCTTCTCTCCTTTAGTTGTTATCATTGCTAATTACATCTTTATACATAGTGTGCCCATGAGCACAGACTTAGTTTTACAGTTTTTGTTTTATGCAGTTGTCTCTTATACCAGATAGGAAAAAAAGTGGGGTTACAAAATATATATTAATACTGACTTTTATAATTATCTATGTAATTACCTTTACCTGTGTCCTTTTTTTCACTTCACATGAACTCATATTACTGTCTCATGTCCTCTCACTTGAGCCTGAAGGATTCCCCTTAGCATTTCTTGTAAGGTAAGTCCTCCACCCATGATTCTCTCAGTTTTTGTTTATCTGGGACCATCTTCATTTCTCCCTCATTTTTGACAGAGACAGAATTCTTGATTGATCTCTTTCTTTCAGTACTTTAAATATGTCATCCTACTTTCTCTGGACTGAATGTTTCTGATGAAAAATCAGCTATAATCCCAGTAAGGATACTTGTATGTGATGAGTTGCTTCCCTCGCCACTTTCAAGATGCTCTGTCTTTGGCAGCTTAATTATCGTATGTCTTGGAATGACGTTTATCCTATTTGAGGTTTGTTGAGCTACTTAAGTTTGTAGATTAATGTTTCCCATCAAATTTAGAGTTTTAAGGCAGTATTTCTTCAAACATTCTTTCCACCCCTTCTCTCTCTCTCTTCTTCTTCTGGGACTCCCATTATGCATATGCTGGCATGCTTGATGGTGTCTCACTGGTCTGTCTCTAAGGCTCTGATCATTTTTCATTCTTTTTACTTTCTGCTCTTCAAATTAGATATTTTAATTTACCTATTTTCTAATTCACTGATTCTTTTTTGTGCCTACTCAAATCTGCTACTGAAACCCTCTAATCAATTTTTCATTTCAGTTACTGTACTTTACCACTCCATGATTTATGTTTAATTCCTTTAAAAATTCTTCCTACTGATATTTTCTACTTGTTGATATGTTATTCTCCTGATTTCCTTTAGCTCTCTGAGCATATCTGAGACAGTTTCCTTCAAATCCTATAGGAAACTAGTGCTTTACTATCAATATACAAGGAAAAAACAGTCATCATCATTTACTATCTGGGTCAAATTGACTCTTAGAAATATACACATTTTAAGTCATTTCACAAAAAAAGTTCAGAAAAAGAGATAGTAAAAAAACTTAATTAGAATTTTTAATAAGTATCAAACTATAACAAACTTAAATATCCATTCCAGACTGCCCATATTTTTTTTGGCTTTTAAGTTACAAATAGCCAAAATGGGCCACATTCTCTGAATACAAATGTTCATCACTGTCACAAATAAATGTGGAACCTATCCATTTTATAAATCTGACTCTTGATTTCAAACATAGCTGTAATTGGTTCTAGCTTATCATTACTTCTGGTCCTTCTGGCAATTGCATTGCCAAAATGCAACAACTGAAAACTCGAAGTTTTGAAAATTTTAATGGCTCATAACTTGTTGAAGAAAGAATGGCCATCCTCCTTGACCTGTAACTTGCAAAACATTGTCATTTTTAGATTTATAAACCTTATTTAGAATCAGCAATCTAATTTTTTTCATTTCTACACCTATTGCTTTCTTATTGCCTTTATATATACACCCACTTTCAGCAATGTAATGTCCACTTACAAACTATATCATCTTTGGAGCACAAACCTAAGAGTTGAAAGAATACCCACACATCTTTTTTTGTCATAAAATGCTACGTGATTAATCCCCCCCCCTTGCTGAATGACTAAACAGGTAAGAATATCAAATTTCTTTTGGTCCTTAAAAATATACTGTTCAATCATCAATGTTTTTGTTTGAGAAAATTCACCTAACAGATCATCATCTGAAGATTCAGTCTTGAGATCTTGCTTACATGATCAACTTCACTATCATCACGAGACTCTAGAATGCTGCTATTTGTCTCTTTGTATTCATTTTCTTATTCACACAATAATTGTGAGATTTGTTTCTCTGCCAATTTTCTTCTCTTTGCTATTATAAACAAAATATGAAAAATTAATTCCCAATTCTGTCCAATAAAAGTAAAAAGCAGACAATGAAGATGATGTCTCCAGTCTTCTTTTATACTTTTCAAAAGATGACATAATCCTTTGGGGGATGGAGTATAAAAATTGTAGGATAATGCAAACTAAGTTGCACAGGTTAAATCTGACCCATAACCTATTTTTGTATGACGTGGGAGCTAAGAATAGTTTTTACATTTTCAAACGGTTGTTTAAAGAATACATCACAGAGACC